TTTAGGGTTTAGGGTCTAGGGCCTGTCTATACAGTAGGGTTTAGGGTCTACTTTGAGAATCTCTGTAGGGTTTACTGTAGGGCCTAGGGGCTACTTAGAGAATGTCTATAGGGGTTTAGGGCCTAGGGTCTACTTTCGGGATCAGGGCTTGGTTGGTGTATATGCTCAGTTTGATACTATGTACGGGCTTAATGATACCGGGAGTTATCATCGCAAGATGTTTGTTACAGCCGCCATGATACGAGTAAGGCTAGTCTCTCAAACTGTGCTAGTCATCTTAGTGGCAACCCTGTCGGAACCGATACGACCATGACGGTGACAAGACGGGTAATGACAACGGATAACGCATCAGCATCCCATGCTCATTCCTGGAGGGGTGCCTGATGGGGTGTTTATGCCATCGACCCGAGACTTAAAATCACCCAAATTCAGTTGTTGGTCGGTGGTTGAGGGTTTTTTTCGCTTTGGGTGCCAGATCTGGAAGGGCTCCTTCGGTTAAGGGTTCATTTCTGTTGAGGCTTCTCGCGTGACTATTCACAGGAGGAGACTGTGCATGTTTCTGTAACCATGTATAATATACGTTTCTGTAGCCAGGTATAATATACATGTATGTAGCCAGATATAATACACATTCATNNNNCATCGTCGTCATCACCATCACCACCACCATTACCACCTACCTTAAGAACCCAAAACCTACTTTTTTGTAGGGTCCATATAAATCCCATATTGGGGTTTATAATAAGAACCTACAAAAAAGTGGGTTTGGGGTTCTTAAGGTAGTGCCGAGCCGGCATACTCGGAGCATTGATGGACCTCTGAGGAATGGAGCCCGTTCGTTCAGGGTTTTTGGGATCCCCAAAATAGCAGGTGATCACAGGCCGATGGCCCCAAAGCGACGCTTCCGAGCTCGCGCTTTAGGATTGATACGGTGTATCGGGAGCTTATGGGCTAGTATAATGGGCCCTAGAACCCTATTCTACTTATTAAGGTTAAGGCCCCTAGATTAGGGGTTTTTGGAGTTCAGGGTTTAGGGTTTAGTGTTTAATAAAGGTTTTAACGGTTTTTGGAGTTTAGGGTTTAGGCTTTAGGCCCCTAAACGTTTGCAGTTTAGGCTTTAAGGGCTCCAAGGCTCGTCCATCTCCAACTCTCAACGGCGGACCTTCTCACCGAGGTTCTGTGGGGCAGGGGTTTCGAGTTTGCAGGGGGTTTAGGGTTTCTCGGTTTATAGGGTTACGTAGGGTTTAGGGTTTAGGGTCTAGGGTTTAGGGTTTAGGGTTTAGGGTCTAGGTTTTTTTGGTTTGGGTTTTGGGTTTTGGGTTTGGGGGTCATGGAGGATCGTATATGAGGGTTCTAGAAGGGCTTTCTGATGTAAAGGGTCGTAATCCTAAAAGTCTTTTCGGGCCCTAACCTCCCATTTTGCAGAGTTCGGGGCAACAGGCGGGCGCCATCCGAGGCCTTCGCTATCATGGTTCCGGGTATGGGAGTTTAGGGTTTAGGGTACGGGTTTCTGCCGCTGTAAGTACTTCTGGTCTTAGCTTATTTAGGCCCCAAACAGGGACTCTGCGTGGGTTTTGGGATTCAAAGCTCCGCTGTGAGACCCTTATGAGCCCTAAAACCTGGTGTTTGGGATTTCGGGAGCTTGCTGCCCCAAGTAGTAGTTGCCTGGTATTTAAAGCTGATGCAGGGGGTGATGCGGGCGGGTTTAGGTTTTTTTTCAAAAGCCGCAAACCAGAACAAAAAAGTTTCAGCCCCATCACCCTGAGCCCCAAACCATGCCTAAACCCCCACGCCCAAGAAGCTCCAAACCCCGGGCTGAGAGAGGCCCGCTACGCCGTGCAGATGCAGAAAGCCCCCGAAGCCGGGCCAGATCTCATGACCTACGTGCCCCGGATCAGAGGGGCTGGGTAGGGATTTTGCGACCGGCGTGATGTAGCGGCCAGACTTCTGTGGCTTCTAAGGTGGCTCATGATTCAAGGCAAAGTGCATGTGGTCAGTACGCGGGGCGGTCATGAGAATCAGTAGAATCAGCATGCGCCAACCTTCGCCTCCCCGTGTTCGGATTCGCTCACGCTGGCCTCGCTAGCGACCACATCCATCTGACCGTAAACCCAAAACCCCCAACTAGTGCTCCGGGTTTGCCTAGCCTTGCACCCGGGCTGCGAAGGTTTTGAGGCCAGGAAGACAAGATTGAAGCTGAAGCGGCCAGTGCCCTTTTCAGTAGCCACTAAACCCGAAACCCGTGTAGTAGCCCCTAACTGCCAGATAGCCTCTTTATGACGAAGATGAGACCGGGCGGAAGGGTACTTGGGGGTCCTTGGAGGGATTCTAGGATTAACCCTAAACTGGAAGCAAGAGACCATGGAATGTACTGATAACAAGAGTAGGAAAAAGTACTACTTACTACGAAGAATCATTATAATACCTGTGATAAATAGTAATAGTCATAGCAATAATAATGCTGCTACTGGTACAAATAATGCCAACTATAACAATCGGAAAAACAAAACCAACACCGCGGAGCCAATGCTAGGCAGCTGAAACCAGACGCATCAAATGCCGCAGACCGCAAGCCCAAACGCCGTTAACAGCCCCTCCATGAACTCTCAACGCCACTAGAGTCCCTTCTACAATTCTGAGATATGCCCCAAACCCAAACATACTGACGATGTACATCTATGTAGTCTAAACCCTAAACCCTAAACCCTATACTAGGGAACTACGATTGTTTAACAAGGGAAGCTGCCCAGCCCCCCGAGGTCTGGGCAGGGATCAACATGGCATCGCTCGTGGCGACGCTCCTCTCTGGCGCCCGGACTCGATGGGACGGTTGCTATAAGGGGTTACTAAGGGTTCCTAAGGGTAAGTGTAAGGCGTGCTAGAATTTTTATAATTCTTACCAGAGGTTACTGTAAGGGGTGCTATAGTTGAGGGTTATTCGAAGGGTGAGACATCTGGCATGGAGATGTCAGGTAAGAGGGTTACGGTGAAGCCGTGGCTAGGCCTCGACATCAGCATCACCGGCACCATCAGCCCCATCATCACTGTCGTCATCACCCCATCACCATCCTCATAATCATCATCCTCCTCATCATCATCATCACCATCACCATCTTCATCACCATCATCTTCTTCCGCTTCTTCAGCAGCGGCACTGTATGGTTTCTTTCGAGAAGTTGGGCTTCTTGTCCTTTCCCAATGGGGTCGTGGCAGCAATTACGGTGGTCGTAGAATCCACCACTGACTTCGCAGTCGTCGCACCCATCGCAGTGATGTCGAAGATATCAACTTAGATACCTAGGCCTTTGGGGTATATTGCATGTTTGCCCTGATGAAGTCTATAGCTGGGTTTGACTTGAGAGCCTAGGATCATCCTACGAACCATTCTTGGTCCCACATAGCCCCATGGTTCAATAGTTTACCTAGCACATTTAGAACCCTACAGAGGCCTGAAAATACCTCCGTGCGTGCCTAACTTGCTTCACTTTCGGCCAGTACCTTACTGATTTGGTTTTCGACGCTGCTCCCGCTTTTGAAGAGATAGTTATTCAAAACAGCATCAACGAAAGGATCACTGGCGACCAAACAAGAATCAGTAACACAAAAATGAAAGCCACCAAGATTGCTGTGGGGTCTAGTTGTTTTATGGAGTTTCAGGGCTTTGAGGGCACCTGGCTGAAGATAGGCAAGCTTTGGCAATACAAATACTGCGTGTGGAACAGAGTTCAGAGTTTGAGTTTCAGCCGGCCCGGCTGTGTTTTTGGAACCTTTAAAATAAAGCCTAAACCCTAAACCCTATCGTAGCCCCTGATTTCAACGGGTTTAGAACCACTGTCTGCTCAGACAAGGTGTTTGTTTCGGGTGGCTCTCTGCCATCCAGATCTAGCGCCATCAGAAAATCAAAGAGCCGAAGATAAAGCTTCAACTATCGGGCCCTTATTGTCAGGATTTCTTGAAGTTCCCTAAATAATGTGCCCTCAACATGTGGATAGTAAGATCCTTAGCCTTAGAAGAGGCATCCGCACATTCCCTGAAGCAAAGACCATCTATCGCTGCACCCTAATCCCTGAACCCTAAACAGAAAAAGGGCCCTCAGAAAAAGAACAAAAACAAACGAACCCTAAAACCCTAAACCCTGGTCGTTGAAATTCAAGGGCCTCTCATACACGAGTACGGCTGGCGTGCCGCTTTCTTTTGCACGGCGATTCCTGCAGTCTTCGACGTTCGGCTGCAATGCAAAGGGCTTTGTAAACGTGTGTTCCGAAGGAGGAGCTTGGGTGTACACGTCCAAAGCAACCTACTTTGTACCTAGTTATTCCTAGGGCTTCAGTTACCTAAATAATGGTATACTGGCTTACTTACATGGTTAGTAACCTACTATTTAGGTGACTGTAGGCCTAGGATATGTAGGGTATGTTTGGGACATGTACTTTGAGCCAACTACCGGATTTCCGCTGCGCGACACTTCAGAGGTCTACTGTGTTGTAAAGCATTTCCTGCAGAAAGGCATAAAGCGGGTGCGCGCTTCAGAAGCTTGCAGCTCTCTTTGACTCTCTCTCTCTCTCTCTATTTCTCTCTCTCCCCTCCATCTCTATCTCGCTGTGCTACACCATCTCAATGCATCTTCTCCCTACATTGTTCGCTATCTTCTTCTGCCTTCCTCAAAAATTTCTCTCGCGCTCTCTCCCTCTCTAACTCCCTCTGTAGTCCACTCTCTGCTCCATGTGGGGGTTTCCTAAAATCTGGGGGTACCTTATTTGGGGGTCCTTATATCAAGGATCCTATTATTTAGGGTACTATATTAGGGTCCCCTATTTTGGGAGACCCCCATGTCTTTTGAAAACATAGTGTTGTTGCACACTCGTTTCTGTCTGGTTTTGTACACATGCAGCCATGCGAAGACCGACTGAGCTTAATGAACTGAGTGGTGTATTTGGAGCACGCAATACGGGGATCACGGTGCTCGTTCTAGAGTTTTTGGTGCCTCATGAACGTTGCAGTCCCCTTGTGTTGTCTGGTGCATGATAGAGATTATTGTGCCGAGAGACTGGCTGTGTTTAGTGAGATTTGGTTCAAAGGGCTCTGCGGTATACTTGGTTTTGGATTTGACTGGAATTGTGTAGCTTGTAGTTCGAGTCCCTTCCTGTTTACTTGGATTCCTGTTTCCACCCTGGGCGTGGCACGAGAAGAGGATCTATGTGCAGGTAAAACGGTAAGCCAGATCTCCTTGCCATGACTCATGACACAGCAGTCTTTGGTTGTATCAACTTTGACGATGATGTATGGTTTAAGGTTCAGAGTTTTCGGGTTTCAACATCATCGCGCTCGACTACAGCATAGGGCGCTAAAGATAGCTTCGCCTCGGAACGCTTCACAAAGCCTCTGCAGCTACAAAGTCCGTCACAACCGACAAGATGACACAGACGGCCGTGACCGTCTCGCCAGGGTCCCTTTTTAGTCCCCATTATAGTACGGCACCCTTATAAAAGGACCCCAAAAGAGGAACCTAATTTAGAGAACTACCCAGATAGTAGCACATACATGCATATACTCTTAGGGTCAGTTTACCTGCTATACCGGGAATAAGACCTTTCACTTTCAATGTCTGAACAAGCGAAAAGAAACCTACAGGTGCTAACAAATCAGCATGAAGAACTTTGGGTTGCTGTAGAGCCTTGCCAGAATCTCTAAGCCTTGATAAGCCGAGCAGAGTTTTCGAGCTCAGGGGTATGTTATGATGGTGCAAGCATACATCGATAAAGGGGAGCATTTAGGGTTTAGTGTTTAGGGGGTTGGGCTAAGTGTTTAGGGGGTTGGGTTTAGGGTTTGGGGGCTCGGCATTGCGAGAGAGCCGGGTCTTCGAGCCGGGGGATGCGCGGTTGCGCAGTTGGGATTCGGATCCTTACGGGCATGTTAGGGTAGTTCTCTAAATTCGGGTCCCCTTTTGGGTCCCCAATATAGTACGGCACCCTTATAACAAGGACCTAAAAGGGACCCTAATTTAGAGAGCTACCCATATGTTAAGATGATTGTTGAGCCCCACTGCGTTGAGAGGTCGGAAGTTCTCTCGAAGCTACAAAGAGGTCTTGAACGGTTAGTGCGATAAGTCTTTCAGAGTCTTTAAAAGCTTTCTACACAACCTGATTTTTCAGGCCCTCCTAGAGATCTCACGAAGCACCGCGTGTGAGTAGGTCTTGGTTCCAATCGCCTTGGGCTGCCTCGAAGAGATTCCAGCAAGCCGGGAGGAGAGAATTTCGAGATTGAGGGGTTTTGAGTTTGGGGTTTGGGGTCTCTGGGGTTGTACCTGTAGTGTTCATTATGTTTTTTTCGGGGTTCCCTTGTAGGATCCTAAATATATAGTTGGTCGGACCAAAAAATGGCGACTAGAGGTAGGGTTAGAGGATGGGGGGTTTCGGGGTGTTTAGCTCACAGTGTTCAGAGCTTGGGGTTTACGACTTCGGGTTTACGAAGTCAAGCTTTGCTGCTCTTGTGATAGAGCAGAAAAGAGCCCCCTGTTCGTATGATTGAATCAGCACTCAGAGCCGCAGGTGAAGCCTATAGCTTAAGCTGTCTGATGCTTAGAGTTTAGATACTCTAAGTTCGGAATGCAAGACCATCACAGGCTGCGGGTACCGACAATGACTTGGGCGGCGTGTCAACATAGTACGGAAGTCGAAGTATTCTTTTGAATGGCTACAGGTAGCAGCGATGGTGATGACGAACGATAAGACAAGTGCAGCCACTGACAGCAACAGTGAAAACGCATCTCAATGCAACACTGATTGCTTCAGTAGCAACGGAAGCAACAATCAGATTCACAGCATCCAATTGCAGTACATTGTCTCAGCTAACGGCATGCAGCCGTCATAGTCACGAGGTACAAGACAAGCAAAACGGCAGCATGACAAATGCATGCTCCTACTCGTTCCTGATGATCACCGATTTCCAGTCCACTGGAATTGTGGCCTTGCGAGGCTTGGCAAGAGGGCATGGTTAAGTAGCGGTAGATGCACATCAATGGCACCAACCTTACGGACGAAATGAACCCCAAAAGGTTTTCGGGTTCATAGACTTTATAGGGATTCATAGTATAAGGGTATAGGGTCCCTGCTTATAAGTTAAGGGTCATTTGGTCCCCAAGGAACACCCCACCAGCACCACCATCGCCACCGCGTTCGAAGATCTGGTCTCCTGCAGCCCGAATTCCCCAAGACATGCCCTTCAAAACGACAAATGGGTGGTTGTCAAATTATGGTCCCTTTTTGGGTCCTTGTTATAATACGGCACCTATTATTTAGGGTACCCCAAAAGGGACCATAATTTTGACAACTACCCAAATGGAAAGGACATCAAGGAGCGTCAACATGTAACTACTATTGGTTGTTTGTAGGGTCCAGGTAAACGGGCTCCGCACTTTGCATCCCCAATACACACATCAAGTCCCTTATGCCCAAAGCCCTGTACCGTAAACATCCGGAAACCCTAAGTCCTAAACAAGCCCTAAATCCATATTTCAATCCGGTAGCCTTAAGGGACCCTGAAACCCCTAAAACCCCTAAACCCTAAACCCGCAACAGTACATCCCTTAAGCAGCCAGGAGTTGGCAAAAATTCGGCAGCATTATTTCGAGCATCGGGAGACCTGCTTCCTCTGTCTCATCATGCTTCCTGCCCTTAGGGTTTAGGGTTTAGGGTTTGGGGTTTAGGGTTTAGGGTATCATGCTTCCTGCCCTTATGGTTTGGGGTTTAGAGTTTAGGGTTTAGGGTATCATGCTTCCTGCCCTTAGGGTTTGGGGTTGAGGGGTTTACGGTTTGGAGGTTAGGATTTAGGGTTGAGGGATCCAGGGTTTACGGTTTAGGGATTTAGGGTTGAGGGCCTGCGGTTTGGGATTGAGTATTCAAGCATGATCCTAGTGATGATTGTTGTGATTAGTTGTATTGTACTTATGTTCTTACTGTCTTATTCCCCAAGAAATGCGGGAGTGGACGCCGGTTCTTGCTGGGCCTTTGAGGCCTTAAGCCTGGCACCCCCCAAGCCTTGAACCAGTGCCTTTCTGAACTCCAAACCCTACAAACCCACCGAACAAAAGCAAAAACCTTCAGGGTTTAGGATTTTGGGTTTAGGTTTTATAGGGTTTATAGGGTTATAGGGTTTAGGGTTGTAGGGTTTAGGGCCTCCTGAATTGCAGAACCCAAACTCCAAACCCCGAACACCCCCTTGAAAAAAACACAAAAAGCTCACCCCGCTCCCCCAAAGGGAAGTGGTCTCTCGCGTTTAAGTCGAGTTTCGTTGGTACCACTCGGATACTCTCCCACAGAGGTACTGGGGATCTTTGGCACCTTGTGGGATCTTTGGGCAACAGCGAAGAAAAGCCCTAAACCCCAAAACTCCCAACAAAACAAACCCAACACCCTAAACCCCAAAACCCCCAAGCAACCCTAAACCCCAAAACCCCCCCCAAAAAAAAACCCAAACCCTAAACCCTAAACCCCCAAACAACCCTAAACCCCAAAACCCTAAACCCCAAAAGCCCTAAGCCCCAAAAGCCCGAAGCCCGAAAACCTTTTTTCTTCTGTGGCAGCCCGAGGCTTCTCAGCACCTTCACCATCATGACTCTGGGGCTGCATCATATGGTTATACTAGGGTTTAAGGTTTAGGCGGTTTAGGGTTTAGGGTTCAGGGTTCACCATTAAGAACTCTAATAAAGGCCCAGGGTTNNGGGTTTCTTAATCAGGTTCCTACAATCTTAACTGTGTTTGATGTTTTCTGTTCTAGGTCTTTTGGAGCTTTTCTGGCATTTAACACGGTAGAACAAAATATAGGGAACTTAAAGTTTGCGGTAGTTTGGAAGGTCTTCGGGAAGACTTTGAGTACAGGTTCCTTGCATCAGTACTCAGGTTTCAACACTTACGGTTGCCGGGTTGTGGGATTGGACTGTTGGGGTGTTGGGTCGCGCTATAGGGATTGGGATACATAGTCATAGCCGTCGCACGACAGCATCCTCCGTGGCTCCGCAGGCGTAGCAGGGGTAAGAAGCTCGGATGAGCTTGCGGTTCGGGGTTTGGGGTAGCAGCAGTGGCCCTGATTTAGATACACGCACACAAGCGGCAATGGGAAACACCCATGCCGCAAGCAGAATTCTGTACAGCTTAAGCTGTAGTCGACATGTTATTCAGTGTAGAAATGGGATGCAGTAGCCGTTGGCGCCGAGTATTGAATTCTGTTGCCGGACAACAACAGAAGACCGGTACCAGTCTGACACCACAAACATGCGAAAAGAGCCTACCAGAATTCGGTAGGAGCGCAACAGGCCGAGACAGAAGCGAAGCTCGAGGCTTCCAGGTGATAGAATTGTCGGGATACTATGGAGCCTAAAGAATGGCCAACATTTTTTTTTTTTNNAGTATACCCCCAAACCCTAGTCGAATTATTCAGGCCCCTACTTTACCTTGTGTTAGGATCCTATAAGAGCTACTTTCCACCAAAGGCCGACGTTAGTCACGTTAGTATCCCGCGTTGTCTGGGGACTTCTATGATTCCTTTAAAGTCAGCTTCGTCAGTCTTGGCGTGGTGGCGTTTGACGTTCAATTCAGTTTCAGATCCCCCCAGAAACAGACCTCATCAGCAAGCATTTTTCTGCTGCTTACCTATGGCTCAAACATCCAACTATTCTTTTTTCTGTCTGCTCAGCAATTTCGAGGGTCAGACGGTTGTTTCTGTAGGATCTATAGCACGACCGGTGCTTGGAGGATCACGGGGCTATCAAACCCTAAGACGAATCCTATACCCTTCCTCTCGGGCTTGCATCAGCGAAGCTCCATCCCAAACCCTAAGCCCTAAGCCTGACCACTGAACGCCAAACGCACACCACAGAAGAGGATTGTTGGCCTCGTCCAGCACGACCCGCGGATCAATTTCGCAGTTTCCCTCGCTACTGCTTTGCCCCTCGGCTGGCTCGGGACAAACGCAATATCGCTAGATTGACAAGAGAGCCAAAGAGACCGGAAGAGAAAGAGGAAGAGAGTGAGAGAAAGCGATAGCGCATGTACATGTGGATGCATGTGGCAATGGACAGATAACCGGACCAAGCAATACCAAGCACATAGGACTGGTCGGGAATGGGATTCCTTTCCGGCTCGAGGGCGTGCTCATGCCAGACTTCGCCCGATTCGTGGCTCGCAGGTTCATGCTGCTCTGCTTCTCCCTTTGCCTCACACCCGTAATCGCCAAAGCGAATGCTTTCGCCGTGCTCTACACTGGTTTGAACCTTGTCGGCAAGACAGAACACCCTCGGGGAGGACTTTTGGAAAGTCCCTGAAAAGCTCACCCCAACAGCCTTCAAAACCTCAAGCTCAAGATCTTGCAGTTTTAAGGCGCAAACCCCAGTCACGAAAATGTGGCTTTATTTTCGCGTCTCGAACTTAACGGGCTTGTAGTCAGCTTTCTGCTACTCCATGTCGGATTCAGTTTGCAAGCCTTCAAAGGCAGTTCGGGGCTTCCAAGCGTCTTGCGCCATTTATTGTCCTTAAAATTAGTCGTTAGGGTTTAGGGTTTAGGGTTTAGGTAGTAGTTGGGCAAAATTCCGCTGTCTCTGCGGTTTCGGACGGGTGACCAACGATATCTCCTTGTTGTAGCGGCCCCCATCGAAGTTGCATACGAATATACCGCACCCCCAAGGCCCCGTTTAGTATGGGATTCCGGGGCTTTGGGTGATTTGGGTGGCTGGTAGGATTTACATAAAGGGTTTAGGGTCTGTAGAAAAATGGTATTGTCCCCGGAACACAGGGGGGCACCAAGCCCCAACGCTTCATGCAAAAAGCGCCTCACGAGCGTCGAAGATGGAGCTTGGAGCTGTTGCTCATAGCAGTCCTTACTTCCCCCAAGGAAAGCCAGGGAAAGAAAAAGGTTTAGGGTTTAGGGTTTAGGGCTTAGGGCTTAGGGTTTAGGGTTTAGGGTTTAGGGTCCCGAACCCTAAACCCTTAACCCTCCCACAAAAAATGATTGGTGGCAGGAGCCATTTTGCAGGCCTTCCGGCTCGGAAAGCCTTTTTTAGGGTTTAGGGTTTAGGGTTTAGGGTTTAGTTTAGGTAAGGCCACCGTGGACAGGGCCCCAAAGATGTATAAGCCCTGAACCAGACAGCCTTGCAAAGCCTTTAGACTCCACGCCTTGTGAACTCTACGCTTTAAGTCGAAGCCCCCGCAAGCCCCTAAGAACCTAAACCCTACAATCTCCCACCCTGAACCCGAAACGCTAAGCCGAAGCCCCCGCAGACCGTTGATCGGCGCTTGCCACGGTTTGGGGTTGTTTTAGGGTTTAGGGCTTGAGGAGTGCCTCGATTTCTGGCGCTGCTTTTTATTTCTACACCGACACGCCGGACCTCGCCGTAATCGCTGGGTCTTTTGCTGCCTTCAAGTTTGGGTTCCGGTTTCGATGGTTTTGGATAACTAGTACCGGGATTTTTGAAGTTTGGGGTTCAGGCTTTTGTAGGTTTGGAGGCTGGGGTTTAGAGCTTGTGGCTTAGAGTTTCGGTCTAGGTCTAGGGTTTGGGGTCACGGTCTATGTAAGAGTTTCAGGCCATGTGCGTTAGAGTGCACGTGGGGTTTAGATTAATATAGGGGCCTAAATCATTACCAATTATAGTGTATTATACCCCAACAACCTATTCTATAATTCATATGAACCCTACAGTATGGGTTTTGGATGTCGGGTTTGGGGCGTTGGAATTTCTGGGGTTTATGGCTTCGTCCTTTAGGTGGAGCTCTTGGGGTTAAGGGTCTACTGCTGCCCCAGCCGCGAAGCAAACGCCCTTCAACGATCAAATCGGAAGCCGGCGGCCACTTAAGCCTTACACGATGTGAATCCAGGCATCCGGGTTCCCTGTGTTCGAACCCTGCACCCTAAACCCTAAACCCCTAAACCCTAAACCCTAAACCCTGGCTTGTCGGGACGGGACCCGGTGGGACAGGAGATGTATCCAGCCGGGCCGCATTTCTCTGATGTCTTCTTCAACACCATCCTCGGCACCGTTGGGGTCATCTTCTCCTTGTTGGGCATGTTCCTTTATCAGCGGTACCTCGGGGGTCTCCAGTACAGAATGCCACCTGGCTCTTAGAGGAGTCTCCCCAAACCCCACGAACTCGGAGGTTCTCAACTCAACTCCTCGCTCTGAAGGGTGCGATTTTGCTGTAAAAAGAGACCGGGAAAAGGAAGAGGCATTTTAAAACAAAAACTCCTAAAGCCCTTATAGGGCCTCTCCACATGCCTAGGGCTCTCACACAGGGCCTCGAGAAAAGCATTTACAAAAAAAACAGTAAAAAGGGTTTTGTCAAGGGCCCAGGGCTCTGTGCTGGCCCTTAGAATAGCCTAAACGATTACCAACCTTGGTCCTTAGGGCTCCCTATTATACTGGTTTAGGGTTTAGGGCTTTAAGGGTTTAGGGCTTAGGGCTTTAAGGGTTATACTCTAAAGGAGCACCAGACCTTTCCAGTATTTTGCCATTCAGGTCTTCCAAGCTTGGCCTCATTGTCACTTGTGCTTGTGCATGAGGGCTCCGGCCAGAATTGCGCATATCCCGAGTCTTGGGAAGTGTGGCTCTGGTATAGGGGGGGGGCGAAATAGTCAATAGTGATATTGTTGCTTCATGTTTCCTACACAAGTATACCGCTACATGCGACGAAAGCATGCTCAACTTGCTCAGTAGCCTCGGGGTCGGGTCTAAGTTTCGCTTATCACACGTTCTGCATGCTGCATCCCTGCATGAAGCACGAGACCCAACACCTCCGGCTTAAAGTGGGCTCGAAAAGCCCTAAACCCAAAACCCTAAACCCTAAACGTCAAAGTCCCTGCGACTCGATGCTCGTCATCCATCTCAGGCTTATCCGGATCACCGCAATGATCATGTTCTGCTTCAGCGTGCTGGACGTAATGATGTTCGCGCGTGTGAATGCCACTCCCCTGCAGTGGGGCATGGGATTTGAGTTTCAGGTTTATGGAAGTTTAGGGATGTTTGTTGACGGTTCAAGCATGTTTTGGCTAGAGCTTTTAGAGCTTGGTAAGCAACACACACTTGCTCCACGGAAGATGAAGACATGTTCCAGATTAGCGGCTTTAATAACAGGCCCCGCGCACGGTAAGAAGTTCTGCTTCCTGTTACGGTCCAGGTACTTTAGATTAATATGAAGCTCTGAATAATACTTGGCAACCATTGAGTCCTAACCGCTTATCTTAGTTCCATGCCTATACACCGAAAGCTCTGTTCCATTCAGAGTATTCTAAGGCCCTGGCCTGTTTTGATTTCCTGCCCTTTTGGCGTTTGAACCCAAAGCTTCGAAACTGGGGTAGGGGCATGAATGATTAGTTGATATAGGGGCCTGATAACAGTTACCTATGCTGTTTTGGGGTTCCTTACTATAATTATACTGTATTGCACCCAAAACCCTGTTCTAGTTATTAAGACCCCTATATTATGCTATTCCTGCGGGCGCCTTCGTATGTGTGTATCGTATAGAAACAACCCCAAACCCTATCCTAATTGTTTAGGCTATTCTAGCTCCTATAGACCTTAATCCGAAAGCCCTATACACCCTGAACCTACGATCCTAAATCTCGCTTATCCGACCATAAGTCATTATAGAGAGGGAGGTCAGTCCTTCACCTTTGTTTTGCTGCTAAGCCCTGAATGACTAAGCCCTTGAATGCCCCGGAGCCCGTAACCTTACCCTAAACCTCCTGCACGCTTCAAGCTTTGGCCACAACCCCGCAGAGCCCTGACACCCTGACCCCCCGAGCCCAGCCCCCACGAATAAAAAAGTAAACTCGAGGGCTCATCGAGACCCTCAAGTCAAAAAGCTCACATAGCTCACATCTACATATGTATATATGTATATCAACATTTGGATATATCTAGTATATGTACAGACACGTGCGTATGTCGTACATAATGTATATATATATATATATATATTTTTTTTTAACTTATTTATTTGTTTATTTACACACATGACATATGTAATGTATATGCACCTAAACAGGTTGCAAATATTACAACACAAAGCTCTGCAGCTTGAGGTCAGGTTTGGCATCCCAGATCACTGGCTCGTCCTGGGATTGTCGATTTGCGAGCAGATCCTGGGCTCTGGCGGCGTAATATAGGGGCCTTAATTATTACCTATACTATTTTGGGGGGTTCCTGATTATAACTATCATATAATGCCTTAATTGCTACCTATACTAAAATTTCGGGGTTCCTCAGTATAACTATAATAAGTTATACCCCAAAGCCCTATTCTGATCGATTCTGATTATTAAAGCCCTTGATTACATTAGGGGGTTAGGGTTTAGCATTTATGGGGTCAAGATGGTTGCAGGATTTGGGGTTCAAGGTTTAGGGGATTTATGGGGTGTATAGGGTTTCAGGATTTAGGGTCGAAGTTTGCAGGGTGTATAGGGATTTATCGGGGTTTGCGTGTTCCATAAGGGGCTTTGTGGGTAAGGCGGTTTAGAGTGGATTCTGTCTTGAAGCGTGGGGTTTAGGGTTTGAGATGTTGGACGTTGAGTGCTACAGGCGAAAGGTTTTGAGTTTAGGGTTGAGGGTTGAGGGTTTAGGGTTCGGAAGGTTCTCGAGTATGTTTGTTTTTTTAGTTTTTGGTTTTTGGAGGAAAGTGGTTAGGGACTGGGGGTTGGGAGGGTTGAGGCTGAGGCTTGCGGCTGGTTGACGGTTGAAGCAATTTATGGATGCAGGGATTTGGGAGAGGGGCCCATATAAGGATTGCGGCCGCAAATTGCGGCCAAATGTATCCTTTCTTTAGGTATGAAGCACGTGTTTACGGCACAGGATAAGACGTTCGCATGCAAACCATAAGTTGTAGGCCCTTTAAACTTTAACTTACAACCAAAGAACCTAAGCCGGCACTGCGTGCTTCCAGACATTCACATGTGGGTGTTTGTCAAAATGATGGTCCCTTCTAGGGTCCGTAATATAATACGGCACCTAATATTTAGGGTACCCAAAAAGGGACCCTAATTTTGACAACCACCCATGTGAGTTCAAAATCTAGGATGGTGTACCAGTGGCAGTGGATGCCGCAGGCAGGTCTCTGGTGTTGGGAATGTGGGATGTTCTGGATTGCGATTCATAGTTGTTGGTGTGTTGTTCTAGAGGTCTTGCCCCTTGGGTGTTGGGAATGTGGTGTTCTGGGTTGAGTTTGAGAATCTAGGGGCCTAAATAATTACCTACACTATTTGTTTGTGTTGGGGGGGCGGGGTCTTTATTCTAACTATAGTGTCATGGCCCCGAAACCCTATTCTAATAATTAAGGCCCCTACAGAGGCCCTACACTAGTTGTTGGTGGGTTGTTTTGGCGGTCCCGGGGACCATATAAGACGACTGTTTCACTACTGTCCGGCTTCATGTTTAGGGTTTAGGGCGGTTTCTAAACGTATGGTGTTTCAAGAAGGGCAGGGTTTGGGTTTGTGGTTCAGGTACTCAGGGTTTGGGGCATCGGGGTTTCACAACATTCGTAGCCGGGCTTTCGACTTTGATTCACTGGTTTCTGCTGAATGCCTCGCAGCATGCTGACCACCGCGCGCTTACTGAGACACCCCCGAAAGACTGAGCTGAGGGCTCTTGGTGACTTAGTTGCTACCACCTACACGTTACACAACCTCAAGAACCAAAGCATGAGGGCATCCCAGACCATTGCCACTACAGAAACGAATCCTGAAACCATAAAGCCTCAACCAAAAGCCCTGTAGAGCGCTGAACAAACCCAAATCTATTGAAGCTCCAGCTGCTCTGTTACTTTGAGAGACGGTTCGGTCAGCGAGCTAGGAACCCAAGCTCAGGGTTTGTAGTGTTCTGCTGGTCCCGCCAAACTTGAAACCCCCAAGATCCCTGCAGACAAATTTCGAAGGAACCCTTAAAAGCAACTACAGTGACCCTTGATTGGAGAAGCCCTTTCAAAGGAACCCTACCAAGAGAGACTCTAAGCCAACGTGAGGTGTTGCTGAATGCAAACCTTTGTCCACGCGGCATGGAGGCAACCCGGCCAAGGGGGTCGACGACTTTATTAAAAGCGTTTGTAACTGAAGGCCAAAATAAAATAAAATGATCCGGAGATTGCTGCTGTGGTCTCTAAACTTGACTTGAGGGGTTCAGGGCCCTCTGGTTTGGGTGTGGTAAGTTAGGCTAAGTTTACTCCGAGTTGGCCATGGCTTGTTGGTGATTTTGCCTAATGCTTCCATGGGTTTAGGGTTTAAGGTTTAGGGTTTACTTCAATGGTTTGATGGCATGTTGGACAGTGCATAAATTTTAAGTTTGGGCGATAGCCGATATTACAATAATCAATCAATTGCCTTGAGTTTGCATGTCGAGCACTATAGCCAGAAGCTGCATGTCGGGCGAGGGGCCCTAAACCCCCCTGGGCCTGAAACCCTAAACTCCCTTTTTTGTAAACTCTAAGCCCTATGCTCAGGCGACCATGTTTGCACTCCTCGCTGGATGCCATCCGGCTGCATTTGCAGGGTTCAGGGCTCCTAGAGTGCCTCTGGTCTTAGGGTTTAGGGTCTTACGGTTCTACGCTTGCATGGAAGAAGGCCTAAACCCTAATCATCGACTTTCGGAGTTCACAAAGTAAGGACGCAGACACACGGTGTCCGAAACCTTGCAGGCAAGTCTTCTGGCCAGGAGGAACCCGAGCCGACATAAACACACGAGACAGCAAATCCTCACGTTTAGGGTTTAAGATTAGGGTTAAGTCCTCGCCCCCTGAACCCTAAGCTGTCCAAACCCCATTGCCGAATGCAGGAGCCTGAGCAGTGCGAATATGTGCCAACACTTGCCTTTGCAGCCGACATTGAGGGGTCTACCTGAAAACATCATTGCACAGGCATGTAAGACACAGAGATTGCCCTGAATCTTAGCTGGTTCAAGGGACTGGCCTTGTAGCAAGTTGCGGTGGAAAACGGAGCCGAACACAAGGGGGGTCGACAGCATGGGCGGAGGAGATAAGCGCAGCGCCGGGTACCAGCCCGAAGGTGAGCCCGTCACCAAAGCTGCGGCCAGGGATCTGACCATCACTGTGCATTATGCTACCTCCGGAGAGCTGCTCAAGACGGTGACCATGTCCTCGAATGCCACAGTGGAAGGGTTGAAGGCCATTCTCAATGATGGTTTAGAGGGCAGGGTGGTGCAGCAACTGCTCAAAGAGAACGACCCACTTCTGGACGACAAGACGCTTGAGGCTTGTGACATCACGAATGGTGTAGTGCTCAAGGCCGTCTTACAAGAAGCCTTCCCCGTCCTGTATATCTCGGAGCCTTGCACGTTCACCGAATTCTCAAAGAGAGGAGACGGCTGGATCATCAGGTGTGGTGATGGAGACCTACAGGGCATGGTGGATGAAGAGGAACATGGGAGGCACGCTGATATAGCCTATGTTCCCGCAGATGCCAAGGAGGTCGTGGCTGCCATGCACGACGCTGCCCCTGGTCTCTCGAACATCCCAATTTGTCAATCCAGCGATTGCGATGATGGCGGTCAGATCATTGTCATTGGCCACCCTGGGCCCGACCCAAAGAAAGCTTGCCTTAAAGCGCTGCACATTCGCAAGATGGTCAACGACGACAGCATTAGCCAGAAGACTGATCCGACAGACCCGGAGATGTCTGGCGTGTGGTCCCTTGCGACGCTGGAGCCCAGAGACATGAAGGCAAGGTTGCACAAAGGCTTCAACTGCGACGAATGGGACGAAGATGAAGATGGTGATGAGGATGAGGTGAACAACGAGATCTTGGCCCTCACTGGGATCATGAACGACAAGCTGCAGAAGCACTTCGTCTTCAACTTCAACGACGAAGTTGCCAACGCCCCGATGGTCTACGGTGGTTACACCAGTGACGGCTCCATTGTTGGCGTGTTGACGTCCCGCATGTGGTCGTGATGCTAGGGTGTTTTTTGGGCAGCAGGGCCGAACATCAAGAAGTACTGCCTACTTTGGGTTCTGAAGTCAATGCAGAATACTATTGTGGGTTGTAGTTCATTTTAAGTTGTCGGTTTAAGTTTACTTGTCTTGAGCGTTCATTCTCGGACTGCTCCATGCGGAAAATCGGTATGAGTGTGTCGCTTGTCTCACCATTCTTGAAGACATTTGAAGATCATCTGATCAGCCTAAACTTGATTAAAAGATTTTTGTAGCTCTTGAAATGAAATCGACAGGCTTGGCTCTCGATTTGCGAAGGAATATTGGGTGTCCGGTTATTTTGGGAGTGCATTGTTCTTATTGGTCATCTATCTGTCAGCCTTAAGTTAGCGTCTATCCCCACCTACTTACCTGGCTGCCTACCTACCGACCGACCGACCCGCAGATCTACCTACTCTATCTACCTGCCTATCTATGTACTTATCCACGGAGTGTGGTTGCAAACGTGCATACATACGCACATACATCACGACGTGCAGGCATACATGTGCATGCGTGAATACGCGCATGGTTAAGTACATAAAAGCATAGATACCTATAGATACTTAGATACATACATATTATGTTTATGGCTATGTGTGTATATATATATATATATACATATATATATATATATATATACATATATATATATATATATAATATGCGTATAGATACATAGTGGCTCAGACCTCCCGAGGCCACAATCTGGGCATGACCGTGAGCTCCAACTTTGGTGCGGCCTTGCTCCACGTGTTGGACGTGAAGCCTCGAGGCAACGGTTTCGGGTTTGGGGCTTTCGGGTTTAGGCCTTCGGATTTAGGGTTTAGGGTTTAGGGTTTAGGATTTAGGGTTTAGGGTTTAGGATTTAGGTTTTAATTAGGGTTTGGGAGCATCTTGGCGTGTTGGGCCATGGACTGGAGGGCCGAACAGTGGAATAATGGTTCCAGCATAGACCCCACACAGTGGCAACATCTACACGCCGAAGATACCAGGACGACCGCAAAGACCACCACGACCACCCCATACTGTCACCACCCTGTTTGGGACCCCAAACGCAATACCCAAAACCCTGAGCCCAAAGCCCTAAACCCTAAACCCAATACCCAAAACCCTAAACCCAAAACCCTAAACCCCTAAACTTTTTTGCAGGTGCCGTCGGCGAGGCCGCTCAGTTTGATAACCTCTGGATTGCGGCGGCGATCAGCTCCGTTCTTCCGCTGGCACCCCTGGCGCAATGTAGGGCTTTAGGGTTTCGGAGGTTCGGGCTTTCGGGGTTTTGGGTCTCAGGATGTAGGGTTTCAGGGTTTTTGTTTTTATCAGTTTGCTTGTTGATGTTTTGAAGGATTGTTTGGTTTAGTTGCTTGGTTCATGAAACCCTAAACCCCCGTCGGTTCGGAGTTTTGAAGTTTAAGGGTTCTGTTTGTTCTCTAGTCTCGTGGTCCTCTTCAGGGAAAAACCCATTCTGTTGCATCTTCGGCATGTTTCAGAGACGGTACTCGCAGCCTTCTTGATGCGTCGGTCTGATCCGTAATGGCTGAACATTATGTGCTGAGGGGGTTCAGGCTAAGGCCCCAAGCGTCGAAGTCTCGATGACGCCGTGCTTCCTAGAGCCAGAATACCGAGTCTATCGGTATACCTGCCACCTATAGTCTCCATTGTAGTTCCTTTTGGGGGATACCTTATAAAATCCTTAATATATAATTTGGTTAAACCAAAAAAAGGAACTACAATGGAGACTACAGCTAGGCCCAGAAGGTCTAAGAAGTTGGACATGCCCTTGCAACCAAGGCTGTTGCACGGCGAAAACTAAGCCCTGAATGTTCTGAATTTCGATTGTGGCTTGAATAATTTGCGGGAGTGTTCGCTGGGTTCTTTAAATTCGATCTGGTAGATTGATGCAGGAACTGTGGCGATTTCGACATGGAGCTGCCCCAAGCCCGAAACCCCTTGAACCTGAAGCCTACGTACTTTGGGGCCAAAGTATATACTATTTGGGCACGCGGATCCTTAGGAAGTTTAACAAATTAAGGTTTCGGAGCACCTCGAAGAACCCTTTTCAATATAATTGACCCTTTAAGCCGAACAAGAACAAACTGGACTAGGTGACGGCTCTCTGTCTCAGCCACTTGCTGCCAGACTGTGCCTTGGTCCATCTAGAATCTAGAACGGCCGCCATAACCTACAACAGAGGTGGTTACAGGGTGCTGTTAAGTTAGAACTATGATATGTTGAAAGGGGTTTATGGGTGCTATAAGGTGTATGGAGTCACTAGTAGAACTGTTGTCTGAAGGTCCCTGATAATGTAAGCTATGTTGGGAAACACTTCACAGAAAGGGAGCTCAACCCTGGTGAAGGGTTTAGGGTTTTGGGTTTAGGTTTAGGGTTTAGGGTTTAGGGTCCCCTAACCCCAAAACCCAAACCATCCCAAACAGTAGAAGAGGTAGAGCCCCATACGTCTTGAGCGGCTAAAATGGTGCAGCAGAACTCCAGCGTTCCCCCCCCTTAGTGCTCCTTCGTAAAGGTCAGAAGCAGGGAAATGAAATAGAAGTGATGTAGGGGCTTGAAGATGTGCTAATACTATGTCTGTTCCTTAATGTAGCACCACGATAACAAGCCTCCCCTCCAACAAAAACAAGCGAACCGCTGGTTTAAGCACTCAGTTAGGCCCTTCTACTACAGAGCTTAGTGATTCAGAATTTTGCATAAACCTAACTGAGCAATCAGCACCCTCCGGTTCTTGTGCCCCCAAGAGCCCTGCTACCTAGATACTGGGTTTGTATGCACCGGAGCTGCATGCCCCTAAATCCTATAAACCCTCTCCTAAACCCTAAACTCACATAAAACTAGAAACCAACTAAACCCTAAACCCTAAAACCCTATATAGTGGGTTTGTATGTACTGAAAATAGAAGCCAACTAACTCCTAAACCCTAAAACCCTGCATAGTGGGTTTTGTATGTACGGTAGCTCTTCAGGGCACCTCCTTGAGCTCCATGCTCAAGAAACCACCATCAGCAACACACTGGACACGCTGCAACATCCGCTCCGAACCCCGAAATAAGCAACTCAATGGCACGAACTAAACCCTTAAACCATATATATATATATACTTATTTATTTATTTTTTTTATTTGTTT